CATAAATAAATACTATTAAATATTCTATTTTACAACTTCTGAGCGATTTCCGATAATTGGAAGTGTTACTTTTGCTCATTTTTCTGTTTTTTAAAACCCTCAGAATTTGAAATTTTTAAATCAGATTCTCATTTCTTCTTCATGCAATCAAATAACCAATGTATTTGTGTAATCAATTAAACTATGTATTTGTGTAATCCATAAACCAATGTATTCATGTATTAAAATAACCAGTATATTTATGTAATCAAACAACTAATGTATTCATGTAATCCAATAGCCAATTTATTCTTGTAATCAAATAGCCGAGGTATTAATGAAATCAAATAACCGATGTATTTATGTAATAAAAAATCCGAGGCAATTATGTAATTAATTAACCGAGGTATTACAGTAAACGACTAGCCAATCACACTGAAGATTTGACAACAGACGTACAGTAAATGACTAGCCTATTACACTGAAGATTTGACAACAGACGTACAGTAAATGACTAGCCTATTACACTGAAGATTTGACAACAGACGTACAGTAAATGACTAGCCTATTACACTGAAGATTTGACAACAGACGTACAGTAAATGACTAGCCTATTACACTGAAGATTTGACAACAGACGTACAGTAAATGACTAGCCTATTACACTGAAGATTTCACATCAGACGTTTTTGTAGGTGAGCCTGACGACACCGTGGTTTGAGAAGACACAGTTAAATGAGCAACGGGTCTTAGAGAGGCTTCAAATCTATTCCATATCCATTCCTACCACATATATGTAAGTATACAACCTTCATGTTCGTCATATACATGTAAATATATAGCGTTCATGTTCGTTATATAGATGTAAATATATAGCGTTCATGTTCGTCATATAGATGTAAATATATAGCGTTCATGTTCGTCATATAGATGTAAATATAAAGCGTTCATGTTCGTCATATTGATGTAAATATATAGCGTTCATGTTCGTCATGTAAATATATAGCGTTCATGTTCGTCATATAGATGTAAATATACAGCGTTCATGTTCGTCATATAGATGTAAATATACAGCGTTCATGTTCGTCATATTGATGTAAATATATAGCGTTCATGTTCGTCATGTAAATATATAGCGTTCATGTTCGTCATGTAAATATATAGCGTTCATGTTCGTCATATTGATGTAAATATATAGCGTTCATGTTCGTCATATTGATGTAAATATATAGCGTTCATGTTCGTCATGTAAATATATAGCGTTCATGTTCGTCATATAGATGTAAATGTACAGCGTTCATGTTCGTCATATAGATGTAAATATATAGCGTTCATGTTCGTCATATTGATGTAAATATTCAATGTCCAGTTCTGCCAAATAAATATAAATATTCAATACCCAATTTTGTCATATGTATGTACGTATTCAATTTTTATTCGTGTAACGCACATGTAAGTATTTACATAATGTGCTGCTATCACACTTATGTAGATTTATGTGTACAAAAACAGACAGAATTCAATTTACTTTTTCGTTTTCTACTATAGTCTCATACTATCTACACATAAAACTAATCATTAGAAGGACAAAATGAACTGATACCCAGTAGTATAAAATAATGATTACAGCTAGTTTAAGTGTTAGATGTTACAATATTTAATGTAAACACAAGTGGAAGTGATGACACTGTGTAATTACAAAGTATTTCTGAGACGTCCAATTTGAGTCAGTAACTTCCCCCACACATCGTAGCCTACGTGTGGTGGAATGACTTATTAAAATCTGTTTACATTTACGGCGGGTGTAAAAGTGGAATCTTGATTACAGTAACCCAGATATTTAGTACTATAGTTAAGACCAGGGGTCTCCAAACTACGGCCCGCGGGCCGGATGCGGCCCGCGAGGTCCTTTCATCCGGCCCGCGGAGATCTTTTTGTCCACGGACAAAATTGTTTGTTGGAGGTGGCTGAGGAACTTTGCCCAGAAAATTCAAAACAATCACAAAATGTAGCTTTGGTACAACTACCGTTGCCCATCGTGTTGCAGATATTGGTGAAAACATGTTGACTCAAGTTGCGAAAAATGCAAGCAAGTTTCGCAATTTTTTAAATTGTAATGGATGAGTCGCTGGACAGCTGTTCCACCTCTCAACTGCTTATGTTTACTAGAAGTGTGGATGAAGACATGAAGATAACACAAGAGCTGGCTTCCCTACTGTTACCGGAGAAGATATATTCAATGAGTTGAAACAAAGATTTGCTGATTATAACTTCATATAGGTCTTCATGGCGTAAGCAACAGCTGTTTTCCCCCGCCCCCCGCTCATGATCATCAAATACCTCCAGCTGCAGTTTCAGTAGGAATTTTGGGACATGGATTCAGAGGCAGAAGAACTGAGACTGTTTCAAAACCCATTTGAAGAAAATGTAGCCAGTTGCCCAGATGAACTGCAGCTGGAGGTCATTGAATTGCAAGCAAATGACCTCTTTAGAGACTAGTTCAAAGAAGGACGGGTGAGTTTTTTTAATACGTTTTTGACAAAGGAAGACTTTTCTAAAACTTGCATCAAAGCATCAAATTTTGCAACAACATATCATACCTGGTTTAACAAACATTTAAAAAAATTAAATACGTGAAGAATAATTTGAGAACAAACTCGGACCTGGAGTGTGTTGTTGGCCCCCGACAGTGTTTCTTTCATACTTTTTTCTCTGGGGGTGGGGGATTGACGACGACACTTGAAATTTGTATATATTTCTATATAAATTATATTTCGTGCGGGCGGGGGGGGGGGGAGGGGGTAGACAATCTTCGGGGGCCGAGGGGCTCTACAACCCCGAAGAGATGCCTGGAAAAAAACTCTTTCCCCCGGACCCCCGGACTGATTTTTGATAGTTAATGCGGCCCTCGGGCTGAAAAGTTTGGAGACCCCTGGTTAAGATGATAAGAAAGATAATGTTAACCAACTGGATGGAACTATGATCTGACTAGGTCGAAGGTGCAGCAAGGGATACAGTTCAGCTACAAGATAGAAGGTACGGGCAACTTTGGGGTCATCGTCTTCTTTGTGGTGGCGGCGGCTTCAGCCGATTCGTTTTCTCTTCTACCAGTCACAGGGTGGGGCAAGAAATATATGGCTATTACAAAAAGGTACCACTGTGGTCATCATGGTGTGTCACGGTACAGTCTTGTGTTGTTACCTATACCTATACACATGACATTATTGTGTTGTTACCTATACCTATACACATTACATTATTGTGTTGTTACCTATACCTATACACATTACATTATTGTGTTGTTACCTATACCTATACACCTTACATCATTGTGTTGTTACCTATACCTATACACATTACATTATTGTGTTGTTACCTATACCTATACACCTTACATCATTGTGTTGTTACCTATACCTATACACCTTACATCATTGTGCTGTTATCTATACATATACACCTTACATCATTGTGTTGTTACCTATACCTATACACCTTACATCATTGTGCTGTTATCTATACCTATACACCTTACATCATTGTGTTCTTACCTATACCTATACACATTACATTATTGTGTTGTTACCTATACCTGTACACCTTACATCATTGTGTTGTTACCTATACCTATACACCTTACATCATTGTGCTGTTATCTATACCTATACACCTTACATCATTGTGTTGTTACCTATACCTATACACCTTACATCATTGTGTTGTTACCAGCCAAATCTCAACATTTTCTGACTTTAGTATTCCAGTTACCAGCCAAATGTCAACCTTAACTTTGTTCTGACATTCCAGTTACCAGCCAAGTGTCAACCTTAACTCTGTTCTGACATTCCAGTTACCAGCCAAGTGTCAACCTTAACTTTGTTCTGACATTCCAGTTACCAGCCAAATGTCAACCTTAACTTTGTTCTGACATTCCAGTTACCAGCCAAGTGTCAACCTTAACTTTGTTCTGACATTCCAGTTACCAGCCAAGTGTCAACCTTAACTTTGTTCTGACATTCCAGTTACCAGCCAAATGTCAACCTTAACTTTGTTCTGACATTCCAGTTACCAGCCAAATGTCAACCTTAACTTTGTTCTGACATTCCAGTTACCAGCCAAATGTCAACCTTAACTCTGTTCTGACATTCCAGTTACCAGCCAAATGTCAACCTTAACTTTGTTCTGACATTCCAGTTACCAGCCAAGTGTCAACCTTAACTTTTTCTGACATTCCAGTTACCAGCCAAATGTCAACCTTAACTTTGTTCTGACATTCCAGTTACCAGCCAAATGTCAACCTTAACTTTGTTCTGACATTCCAGTTACTAGCTAAATGTCAACCTTAACTTTGTTCTGACATTCCAGTTACCAGCCAAATGTCAACCTTAACTTTGTTCTGACATTCCAGTTACTAGCCAAATGTCAACCTTAACTTTGTTCTGACATTCCAGTTACTAGCCAAATGTCAACCTTAACTTTGTTCTGACATTCCAGTTACCAGCCAAATGTCAACCTTAACTTTGTTCTGACATTCCAGTTACTAGCTAAATGTCAACCTTAACTTTGTTCTGACATTCCAGTTACCAGCCAAATGTCAACCTTAACTTTGTTCTGACATTCCAGTTACCAGCCAAATGTCAACCTTAACTTTGTTCTGACATTCCAGTTACTAGCTAAATGTCAACCTTAACTTTGTTCTGACATTCCAGTTACCAGCCAAATGTCAACCTTAACTTTGTTCTGACATTCCAGTTACTAGCCAAATGTCAACCTTAACTTTGTTCTGACATTCCAGTTACTAGCCAAATGTCAACCTTAACTTTGTTCTGACATTCCAGTTACCAGCCAAATGTCAACCTTAACTTTGTTCTGACATTCCAGTTACTAGCTAAATGTCAACCTTAACTTTGTTCTGACATTCCAGTTACCAGCCAAATGTCAACCTTAACTTTGTTCTGACATTCCAGTTACCAGCCAAATGTCAACCTTAACTTTGTTCTGACATTCCAGTTACCAGCCAAGTGTCCAAGTTGTAACAGACTTAGAGAACAATGTAAATATACACATCAGGTTTGGAACACGGTCCTTCCAATACCAGGACAGAGAGTACAGAACTGGAGATGTCTTAACTACTCATTTGAGGGAGTAAGTTAATCGTTGCTTAGTATGGGACTACATTCAATGTATATTAATATATATATATATATATATATATATATATATATATATATATATATATATATATATATATATATATATATATATATGTCCTTGGAAAAGGAATCATTATAAAATGAGTGGTGATCTCTGATTGGTACATTGAACGTCGTTCCTCTGCTCAACAGGGGCGAGGCCTTCACTTTATCGTTTTGTGATAATAATGAGGTATCACATCGCTTAGCTGACTTGGCAGGTAAATATAACGCGTGGATACTACAACAGTGGTTCTTAACGTGGGTACGATCGAACCACAGAGGGTCGGTAAGTAAGTCTCAGGGGTTCGGCGGAGGTCGAGACACCAACCCGACTTTTGCGATTTGCAATCCGATTTTGTCCGCGCGCCGGAGCCGATGACAGTTGAAATACGACAGCGCGACACAGTTATAAAGAGCGTCAGATATTTTTATATTATGGAGCCCGTGACGCCAAGACACACATACGTCACACTTTACGGGCACGCGTTGATCGTGTATAAACATATAAATGGTGTGACGAACATATATTTTATTGCTTTATTGTGGCCCAGTAGTCGACGTGTGACTATCGCGATAGTTTGTCAGGTGATTTCTTTCTATGTTAATCCCTTCAAACTATATCGAGGAAACCAAAAGGGGTCGGATTCACATGTTTAACAGAACTTGATGGGGGTCAGCGTCTTCGCTGTATGAATTACAATGCCATTTTAAACCATTTTAGTCTAGCACATGCAAAAATAAGAAAACATTTCCTTAAACTGTTTAGATAGTATCTGAAAGGCAAAAGCAAAGATTTGGAGTAAATATTGAATACAGTGTTTTTGTATAGAAGTGTATGTTTTGAATTTGAGAAAAACAGCAACATAATTTATTTATTTTTTTCTTTAAAGAAGGGTTCGTTAATTGCTCATATGAGGCTGGTAGGGTTCGGTGCCTCCAAAAAGGTTAAGAACCACTGTTCAAAATCATGAGAGTGTGAGCTATGGGACTGTAGGGTATTAGATGTTATGAGATTGCATGTTTCGGGATTGTAGCTTTTATGTATCCTTTATGAACACATTTTATGTCTTGGCCTTTCATGTTCTAAATTGATGTATTCGCTAATGTTCCTGCATAAACGAATCATCTTACAATCATCTTACAATCATCTTACAATCATCTTACAATCATCTTACAATCATCTTACAATCATCTTACAATCATCTGACAATTATCTTACAATCATCTTACAATCATCTTACAATCATCTTACAATCATCTTACAATCATCTTACAATCATCTTACAATCATCTTACAATCATCTTACAATCATCTTACAATCATCTTACAATCATCTTACAATCATCTTACAATAATCTAACAATCAACTTACAATCATTTTACAATCATCTTACAATCATCTTACAATCATCTTACAATCATCTTACAATCATCTTACAATCATCTTACAATCATCTTACAATCAACTATAGATACTGGGTAATAATCTTACAATATTTGCAAAGAACATCAGCTATTAATATTTTGCAATTAGCTTGAGCATCAGTTTTTAATCTTGTAATTAGCTTGAACAACAGCTTTTTAATCTTGCTGTTAGCTTGTACATTAGCTTTTAATCTTGCAATTAGCTTGAACATCAGCTTTTAATCTTGCTATTAGCTTGAACAACAGCTTTTAATCTTGCAATTAGCTTGAACATCAGCTTTTAATCTTGCTATTAGCTTGAACATCAGCTTTTAATCTTGCTATTAGCTTGAACATCAGCTTTTAATCTTGCAATTAGCTTTAACAACAGCTTTTAATCTTGCAATTAGCTTGAACATCAGCTTTTAATCTTGCAATTAGCTTTAACAACAGCTTTTAATCTTGCAATTAGCTTGAACATCAGCTTTTAATCTTGCTATTAGCTTGAACATCAGCTTTTAATCTTGCTATTAGCTTGAACATCAGCTTTTAATCTTGCAATTAGCTTTAACAACAGCTTTTAATCTTGCTATTAGCTTGAACATCAGCTTTTAATCTTGCTATTAGCTTGAACATCAGCTTTTAATCTTGCAATTAGCTTTAACAACAGCTTTTAATCTTGCAATTAGCTTGAACATCAGCTTTTAATCTTGCAATTAGCTTTAACAACAGCTTTTAATCTTGCAATTAGCTTGAACATCAGCTTTTAATCTTGCTATTAGCTTGAACATCAGCTTTTAATCTTGCTATTAGCTTGAACATCAGCTTTTAATCTTGCTATTAGCTATGCAAAACGTACACATTGAAAACCAGAGAAAATAATTTTAATTGCTTATCAAAAACAAAACAGTGGAACTGGAATCTTCTCTCTCTCTCTCTCTCTCTCTGTGTGTGTGTATATATTTATACATACATATATATATATATATATATATATATATATATATATATATATATATATATATATATATATATATATATATATATATATACTAGCCGTCCCGGCCAGGCCCTGCTCTGGCTTCTGTGAAAAACCTTTCTGTTAACGACCATTACCTGTGTGTTTAGTAATCATCATAAACCCGGCATTGCCCACCCAAACCACAACCAACCAAAACCAAAACAACAAAACGCAAACATAACGCTAACACAATTACAAATACAAACGAAAACAAAAACCTAACAACGAACCCAACCACAACCACAAACACCAATACAAACACAAAGAAAGAACAAACAAAAAAGCAAACGAAAACAAAAACCTAACAACAAACCCAACCACAAACACCAATACCAACAAAAAAAAAAAAAAAAACGAAAAAGCAAACGAAAACAAACCAAATCCAAACGCAAAACCAACCAAAAACACAAATACAAACCCAAACAAAAAAAACACAAACAAAAACGAAAAAAGAAAGAACAAAAACGAACCAAATCAAAACGAAACCACTAACGCAAACCCACCTAAACACAAAGAAAACACTAACGCGAACATAAACGCCCGGGGCGGAATCACCTGTTTTAGCTTAATGAACGACTATAGTACCCCAACTTATTCATAGTCTTTTGCACTCACTTAAACGAACGCGCCTGTTTCAATTTAATGAACAATTTTAATACTCCAAGCTTATCCGTAAAATACCTACAACATTTGCACTTGATCAATCCCCGCTAATTGTGTAATTATTTTTTTTTCCCAACACCAAAACAAAGTAATTAAAAAGTAAATTATTTTCCACAAAATGCAATGGTTTTATAAAGGGAAGTAATTTTGTTTTCCTAATTTATCAAAGGGAAGTAAGTGCTATAGGACTAAATAAAGACATAATTAGAATTTTTGTAAAAGATGATATTTTTTTAAAACTTGTGTTTAATGAACATGCCGACAATTATTACTATAATTTGAAAAATGAAAATAATTTCCCAACACTTTCAATAGTAATTTTTTAGCTCATAAATTTAGACAAATGCGCACGATAATTTTCTAACACTTAAATTTATCCAAGACCAACGACAAACATATGCATTACATACAGAACTGAGCTTTATATATTTTATATATATATATATATATATATATATATATATATATATATATATATATATATATATATATATATATATATATATATATTTATATATATATATATATATATAAAGCAAAGTGGTCAGGTGCCCGATAGGGCACTTCCCGGCGCCGCAGGCGCGTCAAATTTGGCACGATGGTGCCATGGGGCGATACAACACGAGGGCCGGTGACGGTTGGCCGAAAAGTCGACGGAGAGGGGGTCAAAACTGACCTCGACTGACCGGCGCCTTATATGGGATATATTGCGAAAACAAAATTCCGACGGCGACCCCCCTTGAAATTATGTGAGGTGGTAGGAGAACGCCTTGTGGTGTCACAAAAAACTCGGCATATCTGGGAAAACTTCGTAAAGGGGTCAAAACTGACCAGTTGTATTTCCCTATATAATCTTTGTATTTTATGGGGAAAACATAGGGTCATTTCAACGCAGACTTTAGGGTACTTAAACTCGGTATATCTGGCTAATTTTTTGCATACGTTTAGGACAATGGCTTGACCTTTAGGGAAAACTGTCGATTTGACTCAAAGCTCTCGACGAGGGCTAAAAAGTGACCGCGAGTGAAATTCTCATTATATGAGCTATATTACGAAAACTAATTTCCTCCGACGACCCCCCTTGAAATTTTGTGAGGTGGTAGGAGAATGCCTGGGGGTGTCACAAAAAACTCGGCATATCTGGGAAAACTTCGTAAAGGGGTCAAAACTGACCAGTTGTATTTCCCTATATAATCTTTGTATTTTATGGGAAAAACAGGGAATTTCCAACACAAGTTTTAGGTTACTTAACCTCTGTACATCAAGCTAATGTTTTGCATACACTTCTATAGCTGACTAGGCCGTATGGAAAAACTGTTGGTCAGACACAAAGCCCTCGAGCAGGGCTAAAAGATGACCGCGAGTGAAATTCTCCTTATATGAGATATATATGAATAAATTGACGAACGATCCCCTTAATATTATTTGAGGTCGTAGACCGACCCTGGAGGGTAACAAAAAAAACGTTATTCACGTCGGAAAAATCCATTGTAGTCGTTAAATATGTTCATATATCAATTTTTTAATATAAGCATAGTAACTGTTTTTAAAAAAAGTAAACAAAAAATACGTCATTCGGTTTATTTTCGAGGGAGGTAACCTTTTTAATAATTATTTTTCAAATAATTGTATACTATTTTAAACAGAAACAGAAAACGACAAAGTATAACATTTGTTTTAAACCTAATAAGTTGTTAATTAAGCTACGTATCATAATTAAATAAAAAATTAATTTTTAAAGTCAATGTAATATAAATTATGAGATATACTGTTAATGGAACCTCTGTATTTCTAATTCCATTTTAGTTATAAATTGCGTACTTTCTAATTTTTGCTCTGAAAGCGATTGTTAAACAACATACAACATCTTCTCTAAAATTAGCATTACTGTTTAAATTTAAGCACTCCACACCTCATCCATCACCAAATAATTAGTATTCAAATTATCAAATGATTTTGAAAACCTAAGCGAAGCTAGGCAATATGCCTAGTATATATATATATATATATATATATATATATATATATATATATATATATATATATGTTTATATTTATATATATATATTTATATTTATATATATATACATATATATCAGGGTCTAGGATCGAATGTACAGCTCCCTGTGGCCTCATCTCAGGCAACTGTCTATCAGGATCGATGCTTGTACGCGAGTGTGGGACGTTCGCTTTCATACCTGAAGCAACACGGACGGGGGACGTCTTGGCAGGTATCGATAAACATTTGCTCATGTGTTTAACATTATCTTTAGAGTTGGTATCGTCATATCGTTTTGTATCGATTCGGAAGGTAATTGTACAATCTGGAAAACACCTTTTGAACGTCCGGCTGTCGTGATATTGTAATGGTATCTGTTCTACTAATGCCAACACAAAACGATGTCCAAGTACGAAATGACCCTTTAGTTTTGTTCCTACATGACAATAAGACTATTTGAAAGTTCGGCCAGTTTTCACTGGTTAGGTCAGTAACGCTGGATACAATAGGTCAAATGACAAAAATAATTTTAGGGCAATTGTGTTTTTCAAGCTTTTATTTAGTGCAAAACGTCTGTTTGTTTGTTTGTGGGTTTGTGGCAAATCTTGAAACTCCTTTTTGCCCCACTTCAAATGCTGCGATTTTGTTCAAACTTTCCAGATACGTTCCACTTCGATGACAATACAAGTCTTTTCTGTCTATTAATTTAATTAGGTGTTTAATTAGTCATGAAAAATTAATCAAGCGCTTTCGAAACAAAAGGGAGATAACACAATTAAATCACTCTATAGATTACTATATTCAATAACAGAAGGTGAGATAACTAGCTAGACACGACCACGAACAGTCTGGTGAGCTGTGGTTCACCAGAATGTTACCAATTGTAGAGCCGGTCGATTTAGTTAAAGATAATTAGGGGCAGATAATAAAGATTTTTGAAGATTTCAAACAAAGGGGAGGTAACAAGAATAAGAACTTACTGTCGTCTGTAAAACATGGTTGCTTTTACGGGCCGATAATCGTCTTTTAGATATCGCGAACTACGGATGGTGTTTTAAAGCATATATTTTTAGTCGTGTCTTCTTAATTAATTAGTAATCACTACAAAGTAGAAAAAATATATATAAATAATGTTGGGGTGATCTCCCCTTAACTTTTTCAATGTTTTAATATAACACTACGAGGGATGGCAACTCGGTATATAGACATGATTTTTAATCCATTACTTAAACTTTTAAAAATAGAATAGAATCACGTAGAAAAAAATTGCGCACCAGGTGAACTGCAAACAATATGTGTATAGTAGTACAGATTATTAGTATTATATAAATTTACAAGCCTTCCCGGCCAGGCCCTGTGTTGGGCTCTGTAGGATACCTATCTGTAAAGGATCGTTACTTGTGTTTTTATCAAGTAGCATATATAAGAAATATATAACTTTTCCAATTAAAAATCTATATGCAAACATGGACGCTTATCCCTAAACCTAATTATAACTGTAAACTTCACCCGAACCTTAACCAACCACAATAAAAACTAAAACTACAACACAAACTTAAACACAAACGCAAACAAAAACACAAACACAAACACACCCAACAGCAACGTAAACATACACGTACCTCACACATGAACGCAAACGTAAACGTAAACGTAAACATTAACACTAACGCGAACATAAAAACAAACACAAACGCAAACTAAAACCCAAACCCAAACGCCAACGTAAACGTAAACGTAAACACAAACACAAACGAAAAAGAAAAAGTAACACAAACGCGAAAGCAAACAAAAACACAAACGCAACAGTAAAAGTAACGCAAACATAAATGCAAACGTAAACATTAACACGCACGCAAACACACAAAAAAATTAAAAAAAATAAAGCGCAAACACAAACGCAAAACATCAAAACAAACTTTTTAAAAAGTGATTTTATTTTATTTATTTTTTTGTAAGTCACCTGTTTATTTAGAACAAAAAGACGTAATTTGTATAATTTTTCGAACTAAATTGGAATTTTTTTAAAGGGTAGTACATTAATTGTTAATGTGTTCTTTTCACATTATGTCAATCGAAATGATAAGTTGAAAAATAAAAATTTAGTTTAAAATGTATCAATATTTTTTTTATTAATTTTTTTTTGCAGCAAATATTTTTTTACATTTGTTTTATTTTAAACTAAGCTGTATCCTACACCTTGTTTTGTCTAGAAATAATGATGCAGATCGAAACACTGACATATGTTTTTAAGTACACATTTAACCAGTGGTCCCTTTGAATTTAATAGAGATGCTAATGCGGACTGACCCCATATAACTGACACATGAATACTTTTATTCCCCTACACCTTGCATTGTCCAAAGATGCTAATGCGCACCAACCCACATATAAACGACATAAGAATACGTTTACGCGTATTTCCAGAGATGATAATGCCGCTTGAAACATTCGGGAAAGAGTTTATCTCGATCTATACCATTGGAAGGGAGAGTCAAGGCGACGTGGAGGTCTACTCCTCCGAGCCCGACACTGTCGTCACTTCTATATCACCCTCGGGGAGACAAGTGGAGTCCAGGATACAGGAGAGTTGGACCAGGAAAACAGTGAGTAGATGGACGTCATACACGTCAACTGTTGTGTGAGTAGATGGACGTCATACACGTCAATTGTTGTGTGAGTAGATGGACGTCATACACGTCAAATGTTTCTGTTGCGTGAGTAGATGGACGTCATACACGTCAATAGTTGTGTGAGTAGATGGACGTCATACACGTCAATTGTTTCCGTTGTATGAGTAGATGCACGTCATACACGTCAATTGTTGTGTGAGTAGATGGACGTCATACACGTCAATTGTTTCTGTTGCGTGAGTAGATGGACGTCAACTGTTGTGTGAGTAGATGGACGTCATACACGTCAATTGTTTCCGTTTTGTGAGTATATGGACGTCAACTGTTGTATGAGTAGATGGACGTCAACTGTTTCCGTTGCGTGAGTAGATGGACGTTAACTGTTGTATGAGTAGATGGACGTCAACTGTTTTATGAGGAGACGGACGTCAACTGTTGTGTGAGTAGATGGACGTCAACTGTTGTGTGAGTAGATGGACGTCAACTGTTGTGTGAGTAGATGGACGTCAACTGTTGTGTGAGTAGATGGACGTCAACTGTTGTGTGAGTAGATGGACGTCAACTGTTGTATGAGTAGATGGACGTCAACTGTTGTGTGAGTAGATGGACGTCAACTGTTGTGTGAGTAGATGGACGTCAACTGTTGTGTGAGTAGATGTGCGTTGTTTCCGTTGATGTGAGTAGATGAACGTAAGTAGATGTGCGTTAATTGTTTCCGTTGCGTGAGTATATGGATGTGAGTATATGGACAATTTCCTTTGGATGAAATTTTATTAACGGCAGCCAATCTTTTTAGGATGTACTATGTAAAATTGTATTGTTTGTATTTATGTATCGTTTTTTTAAATACTTATCGGTATTTAATGACGTACAATATTTACAATAAAAATGACACGGATACTAATATATTATTTGTACAAAATGAAAAAAAAAACCTAACCTATGGAAATACTAACTTCTTATAATGAGTTAACATCAACCCAATAAAAGTATTACACTTGCATTTACAATGACGACAGTTTTGTACATTTTCCCATTTGATTTTCATTGCGCCCTAAAAAAATGGAAATAAACCAATAGTGTCAATGTTTTAAAGTTTTATTAAGTAAAATGTCCTTGTGTGAAAGACGGTAGAATACACTGACGCTGGCCTATGATAGATAGAACCACGTGAAAGACGGTAGAATACACTGACGCTGGCCTATGATAGACAGAGCCACGTGAAAGACGGTAGAATACACTGACACTGGCCTATGATAGATAGAGCCACGTGAAAGACGGTAAAATACACTGACGCTGGCCTATGATATATAGAGCCACTATGATAGATGAAACCATTTAACATATTGGATCCACGCACCATAAGCAGCCATGTGCCAAATGAATCCATGTTCCCGTTGAATCCCTCTTATTTCAGCTCTTTATGGCAGGCGCTTACTACTTCTACAGCACTAAGCCGATTTACGCCATGTACTACATGGACACGGCCTGTCAAACATCTGACCGACAGAGGACCTTGGAGGTGGGGGACCCAGCCATGTGTAACATCATCCCCATTAATCTCTTTTATGATGGCTACGTATGGAGGTAAACTTTTTATACGTTTTTTATCTTATACGTCTACATGCAGAGGTAAACATTTTATAAATCTCATACGGCTACATACAGTGGTAAACTTTTTATACATCTCATACGGCTACATACAGGGGTAAACATTTTATAAATCTCATACGGGAACATACAGAGGCAATTATTTTATAAATCGCATACGGCAACATACAGAGGCAATTATTTTATAAATCGCATACGCTACATACAGAGGCAATTATTTTATAAATCGCATACGCTACATACAGAGGCAATTATTTTATAAATCGCATACGGCTACATACAGAGGTAAATATTTTATAAAGGTTATACGGCCACATACAGAAATAAACATTTTATAAATCCCCTCTCATAAAAATAGACATTTTTAACCGCCTGATTTTACTAATTAAAGGGACGTAACTGCGTCAACAATTTAAACTTTTAATTTCCCCGTTCTTTGACTACACACTAAAAAAAAACTTTGGATAAAAGAAAAATTCCTATAAAATTGATATAAACTGTTTTTTAAATATTTGAGAAAATTGATTAATAATGACTAATAATTAATATTTCACTTATGGCTTCTGCAAGCATGGCAAATATGTCTCGCAGACGGTTACAATACTTACTATATTATACAGTTTATATAAAGTAAACATTATTCCAATTCCATTATAGAGCACAGTTTTTGCTCTACTATAAACACGTTGTTTACTTTCATTGGGTGGGCAATTATTTTTTCTATGCGATTCAATTCTATTTAAATAATGTAATATATAGTGGAGGGGAGGTAAGTGATGCTTTATTTCTCTCTCTATTCAGCACACCGTTTTCTGATCGTGTGGCCCCAGTGAACTACGTGTGTTTGATTGTCAAGACACGCGACAAAGAGCATCTAAGGATGGATGATCTCGAAGTACCTGCAACGTAAGAAGCAGTTGTCTGTGTGTATTTTGATATGAATTTATGTACGTGTTAATGTGAACGTTTTTCCGTATTGCGGAATGAAATTTTACTACTGTCACAGTGTGGATATAATCAATACTAATTTGATTAGTGGTCTGATTTTTATGCTAGAATAAATAGAAATTGAACATCCTCAAATAATTTATTTACAGTAAATTGAATATACTTTTACCTCAAAAACTCCATCTTCTATTTAAAGATCAATCCACTAGGAATTGTTGTATATTTAAGTAAGTTATTTACTTTAAAGTAAGATGTACACAAGTATTTATAGTCCTTACTTGTGTGTAAAAGCTCATGATCACTAGGTACCCCTCTAACCTATATTTAGACAATCATCTCTTATGTATCGCTACATACTCGATTTCAATGGCCAGACTTGCACTGGTAGTGTGTCAGTCCTTCCTTCCTTACGTCAGCGGTATAGCAATTTTTTCTTCGTTTTTTTAGAGTTAGAAGAATGTGGGCGTTTTAATTATAGAAATCTCATTATTTAATTGTTACCCATCAATCAACTTAAATTCCTCAAGTATCATTGAATAATACAATATTTAGTAAACAACGCTTGAAATGTTTTTTTTTTAATGGCACGTCTTTCCATGCATCCGCTTATTACAAACACACGACTTTTTTCTTCTTTTTTTTGGACAAAATGTATACCTGCTCGCTTAATGCGCATCTATAGGTTTGTGCTAAAGATGCCTTAACCACACCGTAACTTTAACAAAAGAGCTAATTGTTTTAAGGTGAGGGTGGGGCCAACGTTGGTAGTTGTCTAGTCAGTAATCTCACCGGCAGGAGGGCCTAGGCTTGACTCTCACGTGCTGACAAGATGTGGAGTAGATAAAAAATGGCGTAAATTGTTAAATATAGAGCCAGGAACCTACGGTAGACATGTAATAAAAGAAAGAAAAGAAGGGACAGATTATCTTATTTCGCATTGTTTTTTTTATATTGTATAAGACCCAAGCGGCTAAACAATGTTGTCAGGTTTTCACTGTCTAGAAAAACGTAATTTAATGTTTACAGACTCCAGTAGCCTCACACGTGTTACATTTGTTATTGAAATTAGTTTTTATGAACATTGGTTCAATCCTTGATACGTACGTGTATTTATTTTGTTACAACAAACGAAGTCAAACCACGTGTTCAGAATAAATTGAAAAAAAAAAATGCATACCCATTTTGAACATGTGTTCTTTTCCCCTTGAAATTCCTCTTAAGGGGGAAGGCTCCGGTAAAAAAAAAACTTTTTTAATACTCGTTAGAAAACAGTTATTTCTTTACAGCTTTATTAAGATACATCCGCATATGCATTTCCACTAAAAAAAAAATTGGTGGAAAAATCTTGGTAACTATGACAACGGCGGCCATCTTGAAAAATTAACCCCTTCGAATGTTTTCCACCATTCATAAAATATTACATTTTAAGCCCAGTAAACAATCAATTCATAATCTTCTTCCATATTTTGGGGCAATCAGCTAAAAATTTTAAGTGCATATCTTCGAACTAATTTTTTATGAATTTTCAAAATTTGTGTCCTTTAAAAACACTTGTTTTAATGCCCAAAAATTCCCAAAGTTAAGTGTTTAGAAGGGGTTAATTTTTCAAGATGGCCGCCGTTGTCATAGTTACCAAGATTTTTCCACCAATTTTTTTTTAGTGGAAATGCATATGCGGATGTATCTTAATAAAGCTGTAAAGAAATAACTGTTTTCTAACGAGTATTAAAAAAGTTTTTTTTTTACCGGAACCTTCCCCCTTAGTTCACGCTTGAATATATTTGTTAAAAATTGAGATAGCTTGTGAAACATGTTTAGGATGCAGTGGGTGACAGTGAATGGAGCCCCTTATGAGCTCGGCAACGTGCAAGTGGCACCAGGCACACACAACGTGTATGGCGTCAGGACAATCAACTTCGGCTGCTACATCTACGGCCTAGCCATGTTCTACAGCTACATGAACCCTGCTGGGTTTATAGCGGCGACCATCAACGCGGTAGGTAAATACATGAACCCTGCTGGGTTTATAGCGGCGACCATCAACGCGGTAGGTAAATACATGAGCCCTGCTGGGTTTATATCGGCGACCATCAACGCGGTAGGTAAATACATGAACCCTGCTGGGTTTATAGCGGCGACCATCAACGCGGTAGGTAAATACATGAACCCTGCTGGGTTTATAGCGGCGACCATCAACGCGGTAGGTAAATACATGAACCCTGCTGGGTTTATAGCGGCGACCATCAACGCGGTAGGTAAATACATGAACCCTGCTGGGTTTATAGCGGCGACCATCAACGCGGTAGGTAAATACATGAACCCTGCATGGTTTATAGCGGCGACCATCAACGCGGTAGGTAAATACATGAACCCAGTTGGGTTTATAGCGGCAACCATCAACGCGGTAGGTAAATACATGAACCCTGCTGGGTTTATAGCGGCGACCATCAACGCGGTAGTTAAATACATGAACCCTGCTTGGTTTATAGCGGCGACCATCAACGTGGTAGATAAATACGTGAACCCTGCTGGGTTTATAGCGACGACCATCAACGCGGTAGGTAAATACATGAAACCTTCTGGGTTTATAGAGGCGTCCATCAACGCGGTAGGTAAATACATGAACCCTGCTGGGTTTATAGCGGCGACCATCAACGCGGTAGGTAAATACATGAACCCTGCTGGGTTTATAGCGGCGACCATCAACGCGGTAGGTAAATACATGAACCCTGCTGGGTTTATAGCGGCGACCATCAACGCGGTAGGTAAATACATGAACCCTGCTGGGTTTATAGCGGCGACCATCAACGCGGTAGGTAAATACATGAACCCTGCTTGGTTTATAGCGGCGACCATCAACGCGGTAGGTAAATACATGAACCCTGCTGGGTTTATAGCGGCGACCATCAACGCGGTAGGTAAATACATGAACCCTGCTGGGTTTATATCGGCGACCATCAACGCGGTAGGTAAATACATGAACCCTGCTGGGTTTATAGCGGCGACCATCAACGCGGTAGGTAAATACATGAACCCTGCGGGGTTTATAGCGGCGACCATCAACGTGGTAGGTAAATACATGAACCCTGCTGGGTTTATAGCGGCGACCATCAACGTGGTAGGTAAATACATGAACCCTGCTGGGTTTATAGCGGCGACCATCAACGTGGTAGGTAAATACATGAACCCTGCTGGGTTTATAGCGGCGACCATCCACGATGTAGGTAAATACATGAACCCTGCTGGGTTTATAGCGGCGACCATCAACGCGGTAGGTAAATACATGAACCCTGCTTGGTTTATAGCGGCGACCATCAACGATGTAGGTAAATACATGAACCCTGCTGGGTTTATAGCGGCGACCATCAACGCGGTAGGTAAATACATGAACCCTGCTGGGTTTATAGCGGCGACCATCAACGCGGTAGGTAAATACATGAACCCTGCTGGGTTTATAGCGGCGACCATCAACGCGGTAGGTAAATACATGAACCATGCTGGGTTTATAGCGGCGACCATCAACGCGGTAGGTAAATACATGAACCCTGCTGGGTTTATAGCGGCGACCATCAACGCGGTAGGTAAATACATGAACCCTGCTGGGTTTATAGCGGCGACCATCAACGCGGTAGGTAAATACATGAACCCTGCTGGGTTTATAGCGGCGACCATCAACGCGGTAGGTAAATACATGAAACCTTCTGGGTTTATAGAGGCGTCCATCAACGCGGTAGGTAAATACATGAACCCTGCTGGGTTTATAGCGGCGACCATCAACGCGGTAGGTAAATACATGAACCCTGCTTGGTTTATAGCGGCGACCATCAACGTGGTAGATAAATACGTGAACCCTGCTGGGTTTATAGCGACGACCATCAACGCGGTAGGTAAATACATGAAACCTTCTGGGTTTATAGAGGCGTCCATCAACGCGGTAGGTAAATACATGAACCCTGCTGGGTTTATAGCGGCGACCATCAACGCGGTAGGTAAATACATGAACCCTGCTGGGTTTATAGCGGCGACCATCAACGCGGTAGGTAAATACATGAACCCTGCTGGGTTTATAGCGGCGACCATCAACGCGGTAGGTAAATACATGAACCCTGCTGGGTTTATAGCGGCGACCATCAACGCGGTAGGTAAATACATGAACCCTGCTTGGTTTATAGCGGCGACCATCAACGCGGTAGGTAAATACATGAACCCTGCTGGGTTTATAGCGGCGACCATCAACGCGGTAGGTAAATACATGAACCCTGCTGGGTTTATATCGGCGACCATCAACGCGGTAGGTAAATACATGAACCCTGCTGGGTTTATAGCGGCGACCATCAACGCGGTAGGTAAATACATGAACCCTGCGGGGTTTATAGCGGCGACCATCAACGTGGTAGGTAAATACATGAACCCTGCTGGGTTTATAGCGGCGACCATCAACGTGGTAGGTAAATACATGAACCCTGCTGGGTTTATAGCGGCGACCATCAACGTGGTAGGTAAATACATGAACCCTGCTGGGTTTATAGCGGCGACCATCCACGATGTAGGTAAATACATGAACCCTGCTGGGTTTATAGCGGCGACCATCAACGCGGTAGGTAAATACATGAACCCTGCTTGGTTTATAGCGGCGACCATCAACGATGTAGGTAAATACATGAACCCTGCTGGGTTTATAGCGGCGACCATCAACGCGGTAGGTAAATACATGAACCCTGCTGGGTTTATAGCGGCGACCATCAACGCGGTAGGTAAATACATGAACCCTGCTGGGTTTATAGCGGCGACCATCAACGCGGTAGGTAAATACATGAACCATGCTGGGTTTATAGCGGCGACCATCAACGCGGTAGGTAAATACATGAACCCTGCTGGGTTTATAGCGGCGACCATCAACGCGGTAGGTAAATACATGAACCCTGCTGGGTTTATAGCGGCGACCATCAACGCGGTAGGTAAATACATGAACCCTGCTGGGTTTATAGCGGCGACCATCAACGCGGTAGGTAAATACATGAAACCTTCTGGGTTTATAGAGGCGTCCATCAACGCGGTAGGTAAATACATGAACCCTGCTGGGTTTATAGCGGCGACCATCAACGCGGTAGGTAAATACATGAACCCTGCTTGGTTTATAGCGGCGACCATCAACGTGGTAGATAAATACGTGAACCCTGCTGGGTTTATAGCGACGACCATCAACGCGGTAGGTAAATACATGAAACCTTCTGGGTTTATAGAGGCGTCCATCAACGCGGTAGGTAAATACATGAACCCTGCTGGGTTTATAGCGGCGACCATCAACGCGGTAGGTAAATACATGAACCCTGCTGGGTTTATAGCGGCGACCATCAACGCGGTAGGTAAATACATGAACCCTGCTGGGTTTATAGCGGCGACCATCAACGCGGTAGGTAAATACATGAACCCTGCTGGGTTTATAGCGGCGACCATCAACGCGGTAGGTAAATACATGAACCCTGCTTGGTTTATAGCGGCGACCATCAACGCGGTAGGTAAATACATGAACCCTGCTGGGTTTATAGCGGCGACCATCAACGCGGTAGGTAAATACATGAACCCTGCTGGGTTTATATCGGCGACCATCAACGCGGTAGGTAAATACATGAACCCTGCTGGGTTTATAGCGGCGACCATCAACGCGGTAGGTAAATACATGAACCCTGCGGGGTTTATAGCGGCGACCATCAACGTGGTAGGTAAATACATGAACCCTGCTGGGTTTATAGCGGCGACCATCAACGTGGTAGGTAAATACATGAACCCTGCTGGGTTTATAGCGGCGACCATCAACGTGGTAGGTAAATACATGAACCCTGCTGGGTTTATAGCGGCGACCATCCACGATGTAGGTAAATACATGAACCCTGCTGGGTTTATAGCGGCGACCATCAACGCGGTAGGTAAATACATGAACCCTGCTTGGTTTATAGCGGCGACCATCAACGATGTAGGTAAATACATGAACCCTGCTGGGTTTATAGCGGCGACCATCAACGCGGTAGGTAAATACATGAACCCTGCTGGGTTTATAGCGGCGACCATCAACGCGGTAGGTAAATACATGAACCCTGCTGGGTTTATAGCGGCGACCATCAACGCGGTAGGTAAATACATGAACCATGCTGGGTTTATAGCGGCGACCATCAACGCGGTAGGTAAATACATGAACCCTGCTGGGTTTATAGCGGCGACCATCAACGCGGTAGGTAAATACATGAACCCTGCTGGGTTTATAGCGGCGACCATCAACGTGGTAGGTAAATACATGAACCCTGCTGGGTTTATAGCGGCGACCATCAACGCGGTAGGTAAATACATGAACCCTGCTGGGTTTATAGCGGCGACCATCAACGCGGTAGGTAAATACATGAACCCTGCTGGGTTTATAGCGGCGACCATCAACGCGGTAGGTAAATACATGAGCCCTGCTGGGTTTATATCGGCGACCATCAACGCGGTAGGTAAATACATGAACCCTGCTGGGTTTATAGCGGCGACCATCAACGCGGTAGGTAAATACATGAACCCTGCTGGGTTTATAGCGGCGACCATCAACGCGGTAGGTAAATACATGAACCCTGCTGGGTTTATAGCGGCGACCATCAACGCGGTAGGTAAATACATGAACCCTGCTGGGTAAGTAAAAATCTCTAATTTTCTGCCTTCTATCAAATTTTGAGTAATTTCTGTTGACCGGAAGTAGTAATTTACACTATTTCCGATTTCTCAAAAAAACGCATGTGAATTTATAAAGTACTAATAATATCCCGCACTATAATGCACATTTTGTTTGTCGTTCACTTGGTGTGCAATTTTTTTTTCCACGAGATTCTATTCTATTATAAAAAGTTTAAGTAATCAAAAATGGATTTAAAATATTGTCTATATCCCGAGTTGCCATCCTCTGTAGTGTTGTATAAGAATATTCGCGATACTTTAGGGGAGATCACTCCCGGTTTATTTCTATGAGATTTTATTCTATTTTTAAAACTTTAAGTATTTAAGATGGATTAAAAGTCATGTCTATATCCCGAGCTGCCATACCCTGTTGTTTCATATACGAATATTTGAGAAAGTTTATGGGAGATCACTCCCGGTTTATTTTATTAGTGTTAATGGCATTAATACTAATATTGTATTAATGGTAATGGCATTAATACTATTTTTTTAAATTAGTGTTAATGGGATTAAAAATATTTTTTTAACAGCAATGTACTCCAGCTTACAATAAGAACGATCCTGGAGACCTTATAGACAACGACTGTGACCAAAGAATTGACGAGGAGATCAAAGATGGCATAGGTAATGTTAAGGTAATGAATAGACAGGAACTCACTGTCCCATTACCTCTAGGTAATGTTAAGGTAATGAATAGACAGGAACTCACTGTCCCATTACCTCTAGGTAATGTAAAGGTAATGAATAGACAGGAACACACTGTCCCATTACCTCTAGGTAATGTAAAGGTAATGAATAGACAGGAACACACTGTCCCATTACCTCTAGGTAATGTTAAGGTAATGAATAGACAGGAACACACGGTCCCATTACCTCTAGGTAATGTTAAGGTAATGAATAGACAGGAACACACTGTCCCATTACCTCTAGGTAATGTAAAGGTAATAAATAGACAGGAACATACTGTCCCATTACCTCCTCGTGGATGGGAAAATTGAATACAGCAATTCGCAAAAGTTCAACTATAAAAAAAAAAAAAAAATTATTTTTTATATCTAGAGACGGTTTGGTAATCATCCATTTTCATTTTTTTTCTTAATTTTTGCGAAACTGATATAATTTGTATGTAAACGTCGTAATCTCATTTGCCAATAAACAGTTGTGCATTAGGGCAAACCTCTATTCTGGCATTTTTCCCGTTCGCGCACTCGTCCATTCTGGGAATTTGTCGCAATCGGGGAAAATATCCATTCATGACTTTGTCCTTTCGGAAAAGAAAAACTTCGTTCAAGCAGTATTTGGTCTAACGTCCTACTCCTTTACAACGATACTTTTGTTAAGTTTATTCGAGATTTAATAAAAAGTAATTAAAAATGTGATTGTTTCAAAAAAATTGTTTTAGTCAGATTGTACCAGATTAACGGGAAGCAACTCTGTATCGTGATTGGTTTACCTAGTCCGTCTAGAGTTGTAGCCGTTTGTGTTGTGACAAAATACAAAGTGTCCCAATACAACTGTAGCGTGTAATATTTGACGTAACAAGTGTCTTAGGGTCACAATACAACTGTACGCTCAAATATTTGTTTAAAATGGCACTTAATATTTAGTTTACAACGTCAATCGTTCCGTTTATTTTTTACTCCAGACAATGATAACGACAACAGAATAGACGAAGATCTGGCTAACCCGCCCAGAGGTAACTTGTGAAGTTTTAGGTTGTGTCATTTTGTGTTGTTTTAGTTCAGTTTGCTTGTGATGGTGTGTGGATCGTTGCGTTGGGTTATGTCTCGTTGGATTGTTGTGTATCGTTGGGTTGTTATATATCGTTGGGTTGTTATATATCGTTGGGTTGTTATGTATCGTTGGGTTGTTAGGTATCGTTGGGTTATGTATAGTTGGGTTATGATGTATTGTTGGGTTTTTATGTATCGTTGGGTTGTTATGTATCGATAGTTTGTTATGTATCGTTGGGTTGTTATGTATCGTTGGGTTGCTTGTGATGGTGTGTGGATCGTTGCGTTGGGTTATGTCTCGTTGGATTGTTGTGTATCGTTGGGTTGTTATATATCGTTGGGTTATGTATCTTTGGGTTGTTATGTATCGTTGGGTTGTTATGTATCGTTGGGTTATGTATCGTTGGGTTGTTATGTATCGATAGGTTGTTATGTATCGTTGGGTTGTTATGTATCGTTGGGTTGCTTGTGATGGTGTGTGGATCGTTGCGTTGGGTTATGTCTCGTTGGATTGTTGTGTATCGTTGGGTTGTTATATATCGTTGGGTTATGTATCTTTGGGTTGTTATGTATCGTTGGGTTGTTATGTATCGTTGGGTTATGTATCGTTGGGTTGTTATGTATCGATAGGTTGTAATGTATCGTTGGGTTGTTATGTATCGTTGGGTTGTTATGTATCGTTGGGTTGTTATGTATCGTTGGGTTGTTATGTATCGTTGGGTTGTTATGTATCGTTGGGTTGTTATGTATCGTTGGGTTGTTATGTATCGTTGGGTTGCTATGTATCGTCTTGTCTTAAGTTATATGAAGCTGTGCTCGACTGTGTTGTGTGTAAAGTTGGGTCGGGCTGTGTATGTTGCTGTGCTGGCTAGAATTGTCCCCGATGGTGTGGTACCGCATCATGTTAGGTCCTGTTCTATTGGGTTGTATTATTTTTTATTCTGTTGGGTTAGGTTAAAACTGATAGCCTATCGCTAGTTACATTTGGACTTGATGAAAAACATTGTTCTCTGTCGATGTAGGTTAATGTTTTAGCAATTTTGTTGAAAAAACTGACCACATTTACAGCAAACGGAGCTTGGAGTGAATGGCAGGAATGGGCATGTATTCTTGCATGTCACGTGTTCAGGGATACGAGGCTCAGGTGAGTGACGTCACAGGTCAGATGTCACCGGAGGCGGAAGCCCAGGGTGTCACCGCCACTTATATATATATATATATATATATATATATATATATATATATATATATATATATATATATATATATATATATATATATATATATATATATATATATATATATATATATATATATATATATATATATATATATATATATATATATATATATATATATATATATATATATATATATACATGACGCAGGTAATCTCTTAGACTTAACTCCCGGCCAGTGTTTTAAGCCTACTCTCATCCAACTACCAGTTACACTGAGTAAAAGGACACCGTTTTGTTACCTTCCAGACTATGCGACAACCCAGCTCCCGCCAACAACGGCAGAGACTGTGAAGGCAACCCAGTTGAATACAGAGACAGCGATTGTGGTCGTAACGTCATCTGCCCTACAGGTTGGGGAGTTGTCCACAGAATACACATCGTTCAAAAATGCAACATTGAATACATCAGCCTAATATATATATATATATATATATATTTATATATATATATATATATATATATATATATATATATATATATATATATATATATATATATATATATATATATATATATATATATATATATATATATATATATATATATATATACATATACAATAACTTGACATAGACATAGAAAAGAGAGTCAACTTATTCAAAGTTATATATATATATATATATATATATATATATATATACATATATATGTATATATATATATATATATATATATATATATATATATATATATATATATATATATATATATTTACAATAACTTGATATAGACATAGAAAAGACAGTCAACTTATTCAAAGTTTATCTAAACAATGACTTCAAGTACTTTCCCGTGTTTAGATTGCCCTGAGGGGCAGTGGGATTTCAACTGCGTCAAGCGGTGTGAACATTGTGAGGAGGACTGCAACAAATTTCTGGGGAACTGTACCAGTTGTAAGCCAGGCTTCATCAACCCGGAACATTCCTGCGACACAGGTAAGTGAACCAGGTGTATGACGTTCATGATTGGTAGTTGTATGACGTTTTTCTGGATAGCTTTATGACGTTCTTTCTGGGTAGCTTTATGGCGTTCTTAGTCGGTAACTGTATGACGTTCTTAGTCGGTAGCTGTATGACGTTCTTAGTCGGTAGCTGTATGACGTTCATGATAGTTGTATGACGTTCTTTCTGGGTAGCTTTATGGCGTTCTTAGTCGGTAACTGTATGACGTTCTTAGTCGGTAACTGTATGACGTTCTTAGTCGGTAGCTGTATGACGTTCTTAGTCGGTAGCTGTACGACGTTCATGATAGTTGTATGACGTTCTTTCTGTATAGCTGTATGATGTTCATGATGGATAGCTGTATGACGTTCATGATAGCTGAATGACGTTCATGATGGGTAGCTTGTATGTGGAGACTTGACTTCCTTCCTGTAGACACTTCGGGTTAGTGTCATTCTGAAGACGAGAGTTCATATTTGAACTGGCTGCTTGATGGGTTAGAGCATTGTGCGCAGAGGTACGCACCACCTCTCTGTTAAATTGATGACGCTTATAGCAGTCCTTGACAAGGTGACCAGGTCTCTTGCAGAACTGGCATACTGCTCGACGACTGAGAGTTGATCTTGGCTTCTCTCTGGATTGTAACGTCTTCAAGTGTTGGCCAACAGGGGTACTGTTGCCAAAAAGGGGAAGCACGGGGTTGAGGCGGTTTCCTGACACTGGTGGTTTCTTATGCACCAACGTATATGTGTCAGCCGACTCAGCAGCCTTCTGGATGTCGACTATCTTACTATCCAGTATGTGTATTCGTATGTCTTCAGGCAGGGACTTTAGGAATTCCTCCCTCAGGACAAGTGATTTTAGTTTCTCAAACACTGAAACTTCCTCAGAGTTTAGCCACCTTGAGAAAATGTTCTCTTTTTCAAAGAGAAATTCTACATATGATTGAATGGGTAGCTTGCGGAGTGCTCGGAATTTTATCCGAATGGCCTCTGGAGTCAATTCGTAGGCCTTCAAAATGGCAGTCTTGACCAGCCCATAGTTAGTTTAAACGTCGTGAGAGAGTGCCTGATATGTGGTTACAGCTTTTCCTGTAAGAACCGTGCTCAATAAAGCAGTAATGGAAGTTTCGGGCCATTCACATGCCTTCGCTAAACTCTCAAATGAGTTAAAGAAGACAACCAATTCTATTTCATTGAACTTAGGAACTAATTTCCCAAATTTGGCAATCACCTGCCCCACCGACAACTTTTTAGGATCCACTAGAGAAGTGACATCACCACTAACTTTACCAAATTCTAATTCCAAACTCCTCTTATCTAAAGCAATTTTAGCCTCCAACTCCTGTTTCTCTAAAGCAATTCTAGCTTCTAATTCTACCTTTTCTAGAGGTTTCTCCTCACGGAGTATCACACCAGCCAACAAACTCTCTTCGAACACACCTTCATTGATGAAATGAACAATAATTTTATCTCTTAACACTTCTGATTTCTGAGTGACAGAATAATCCAACTTCAATTCCTTTACAACACTAATCAAATCTTTCCTACTTAACTTCTCTACTTCCTCAACTGTGGGTTTTAACAAGAAAGACTCCATTTCAACTAGTTTCAAAATCAAAACAAGCCTAAATTTAACACAGCCCAACGATTTGTTATGAACTTGACCTTAAATCTAGGACGCGACACGTCTGACTTCCTGACCTAGATAACTCTAGCCTTGAGCGCGGCGCTCTTACACAGCCACACTGGGTTAAGAAACAACTAACTAGAACTGAAACTAGTGCTTAAATATTTAAACCAACAACTCTTACAACAGATTAGATCCCGGACAGGCCCCCACTTTGTAACGGACACCGATCTATCAGCCAGATAGATGGCGAACGCTCCCGGATTCGTTTAACTGATTACACACAGATGGCGATAAGCCTAAATAAAAGAAAGTTGACTCACTAGTTCGCTAGGACTCGTAATTAATGTCTAGGGGAAACACTAGAGAAACTAATGATGCCAACAAAACCTTTAATCTGCATATAACTTGTAATGAGTGTACAAAGTCGTGGCAGAACACTAGATTTATACAAGAATAAAATGGATTTACAGAATGAACAAAACCCAACTTACAATTCGTGGGAATAAATAGTATGATACACTATCACAGCTTTCAACACTTCAGATAAATCACCACTGTATACATAACACTGCTATAAGCATAAAGAATTACTTAATCACAAGTAATATAACAACTTAATACTGCACGGCAACACACAGGGCTTATCTCTCTTCAACGACGTCTGACCAAAGACTGCCTCGAGACACCTGTGGGCGATCTATTTATAGACTTAGGTAACATGGAAGGTCACCTTCAAATCATAAGACCATTGGTTGGGGTGGTCATCTGGTCTGAAACAATCAATCATCTCTCGATGGAAAATTTCTGAGTCTAAGACTCTCTTAGTAAGACAGCGGAAAAAAAACGGTTATTGCACCACAGACCATATATGGTATTATAACAAATGTCAAACTAAAAATAAAACATTACTAGACCTAAGTAGGTCACAAGCTGTATGACGTTCATGATGGGTAGAAATCACACGTTAGGGAAAAATAAAAGAGGCTGGGTTTAGTGCTGGTCACATGGCCTCTTCATACTTCAAGCTCACTGAAACTAACAAGACCTCACGAGTATCTAATACAACTAAGGGAGATAATCATGGAAATTTAAACTTCGATTTAGAAATAAACTTTTTCCAGCAGTCAACTGCAAAAATTGTACAATTTAATTTTTTTTTTTAAATTCATAAAAAAACGTTTTAATAACAATCTTTTATGTAATAATGCACTAAAAAGTAGAAAATAAATTATACACTACTCTTCCTAAATATTAGTAAAGGTATTCAATAGATACTAAAGTGACCCACGCTTTTCTTTATAGTAATTTAAATAGTAGTGGCTAATATTTAGGAAGAGACCCACGCTTTTCTTTATAGTTATTTAAATAGTAGTGTATAATTTATTTTCTACTTTTTCGAGCATTATTACATGAAAGCTTTTTATTAAAACGTTTTTTATGAATTTTTTTTTCAGTAGGCTACTAAACTTGTTTTATTTACAATAGTTACAAGACTAAAAACCATTGTCAAGTTTATAGCTAAAGTTTCATTAAAGTATTATGGGATGGCGCAGTCTAGAGGTAAAGAACTAGACTGCTGACCCGACTAAAAACCATCCAGCGTCTATTGAACGTGATGACGCGCTTTTGACGTAGAGCCCCAATCGCTCCACGCCTAACAAGGCCGTGATGATGCGTGTGGATAGAACTGCCTACTAATTCGGTCCAAATTTTAATTAATTCACAAAAAATTAATTAGGCATTCAATGAAGTCAAATTTAATGTCATAATGCATTGTCTTCATGTCTTGACCCACGTACCAATTACGAACCGTATCTGTCAGTTAGAAGTGTCCGAATTTTCGCTCCGGCGTTTCGATCTAGACTGACGACAGACAGACAGAGGAAGTGGAAAAAAAGTTTTAAAAAAAAACAGAATTTATATTGTACATTATGTAATATTTTGATTGAGTATATTATTTGGAAATTAAGGATTTCCGTTTAATTGATTACATAGCACATATGGCCTCGGTGATCTTGTTACTAATTATCTTCCATTATACTAACACTATATGAACCCAGCTTGTCAGAAATACTGTCTGACTTGAGTTTTAAATGTATTGCAAATCACACACGGAAATAAATGTATTTGTTTCTGTTTAGATTTAATTTAGGAACAACAAATATTACATAATGTAATTTAGTAATATTTTATTTATATAAAACTTTTTGCTTTTGACTTATGAAATATATACATTAACTATTGTGTCTTTGATCCAATTGAAGTGTGTCCCCCATTTACATATGGCAAAAACTGTGAGGGAAATTGTATGGAGAAATGTGAGGCTGAATGTCTGGATAAAGTCAATGGAAACTGTCCACGTAAGTGTTTCAGATTCACTCGGGGATTATCTTCAACTCAATGGTTCAGCTTAACTCTTGTTGGGGATTATCTTTATTATAATCTGCATGTAGTACCTGCATGTAGTACCTGCATGTAGCACCTGTATGTAGCACCTGCATGTAGTACCTGCATGTTGTACCTGCATGTAGTACCTGCATTAGTACCTGCATGTAGTACCTGCATGTAGTACCTGCATGTAGTACCTGCATGTAGTACCTACATGTGGTGCCTGTATGTAGTACCTGCATGTAGTACCTGCATGTAGTACCTGCAAGTGGTGCCTGCACGTAGTACCTGCATTAGTACCTGCATGTAGCACCTGCATGTAGTACCTGCATGTAGTACCTGCATGTAGTACCTGCATTAGTACCTGCATGTAGTACCTGCATGTAGTACTTGCATGTAGTACCTGCATGTAGTACCTGCATGTGGTGCCTGCATGTAGTACCTGCATGTAGTACCTGCATGTAGTACCTGCATGTAGTACCTGCAAGTGGTGCCTGCATGTAGTACCTGCATGTAGTACCTGCATGTAGTACCTGCATGTAGTACCTGCGTTAGTACCTGCATGTAGCACCTGCATGTAGTACCTGCATTTAGTACCTGCGTTAGTACCTGCATTTAGTACCTGCATGTAGTACCTGCATGTAGTACCTGCATGTAGTACCTGCATGTAGTACCTGCATGTAGTACCTGCATGTAGTACCTGCATGAGGTTTAATGACTAAACTTATTTTGATTACAGCCAAAACCAACAATTATTTGCATTTACTGTGGTTTACACTGCTTATTCCTTGTGTTTGCCTGCTGCTTTATTATATTAGGTGAGTTGAAGAACTTAGAGCGTTCTATTTTTTTTTCATTTTAAATGGGAAACAACAAAATTAATGTTCAATGCAACGCTTTGTCAGAAAATATAGCAACTAAGACAATATTTCCCCAGCAACCAAGACAACATTTCCCCAGCAACCAAGACAAAATTTCCATAGCAACCAAGACAACATTTCCATAGCAACCAAGACAACATTTCCATAGCAACCAAGACACCACTTCCGTAGACAAAGCCTTAGTAGAGTAACATTCAAAGATATTTTTAAACTTTTTTTTTATAACAGACGCCGACGGTCCAAGGCTGCAGAGGCAGCCGAAGATGGTCCAGGAGCTGGAGCAGCAGGGAGCAGAGCCGGGTCGTCTGCTGGAGAGAGCAAGGCTACAGGATCTGTGGCAGATACTGGAACCACGTCATCGATTGGTGAATCTACGGTTTAAGTTACGTCATACAAATACGTCATAGTTTGGTGAATCTACGGTCTAAGTTACGCCATACAATCACGTCCTGAGATCTTATGTCGGTTATTTCTTGCTAGCACATCCCATGATCAAAAGTATGTTTTTAATTGCTAATTGTTTTGTTTCAATGTCGACGTATCTTTAAAGAAATAAACAGAGCTGATTGTTTTTACTTGGGTTGTTTCGTTCATTGCAAAACCAGTGGGAAAACTGACTAAAAGCTTTAAAATTAAGTCATATTGGGTTTTCAATTCTCTGGGATTACACATGAAAACAACATGGTAAAATAAAATGAACTAATGTTTCATTTAATTGGAGTACTGATAGGAATGGTTTAAATATTAAAAATCATTTTAATTTATTTTTTTTTTTTCATAAAATGCTATCCTTGTGAATGAATCTTGACAACAAAAATCGTTTTCAAACTAAATAATTTTAATAGTCGCCAATTAAAATAAGAAACTGTTCAAGGATTTAGTTAAGGTAATTAGCAACATCATATAGGCCTACATACTGACAACTCTTCAAAGACAATAATCGCCAGTTTGGACAATTAATTTATTATTCAGTGAAAGATGTATTTTTAAAAAAAATTGTGTGCACGTAGTATATTTTTGTTATGGAAAACATTGAGCGTTCATACATATATACAGTGTTTTTAGCATTGGACGTGAAATTAGTTTTTAGACTAATTAGGTTAATTAGTTTTTAGGCTAATTAGGTTCAGGAGCTTTCAGACAAATAAATAATTCGTATTGCATCCGCCCACTTTCTGCCTCCCTGTGACCCACCCACTGGTTGGGTCCGTGACACGCCCACTTTCTATTAGACCCACCCACTTTCTGTTTGAGGGAGTGTCGTTTAGACCCACCCACCATACATTTACCAGATAAAATCAGCATTTGTTAATTTGACAAAATGGCTTGTAAACACACAGATACTCTTTCTCTAAGATAAAAATAATGTAAGTTAACATTACGTCAAAGATAAAAATTATGAAAGTTAACATTACGTCAAAGATAAAAATGATGAAAGTTAACATTACGTCAAAGATAAAACTATGAAAGTTAACATTACGTCAAAGATAAAAATGATGAAAGTTAACATTACGTCAAAGATAAATAGACGGGAGTTGACAATATTTCCGTCAAATGAAAAAAAATCCATTTTGTGTGTAAGATTAAAGTACTTGAAGACAATATTGGAACAAAATTTGTACACAATGTTAACAAATACACGTGAAAAGTTTCCCGTCGTTGTCTTTCTCCTCTAGACGACTGCACGGTCTGATGAGGGTGGAGGTGTTGTGGGAGGAGGTACCGACCTCTTTGGTGATCTTGTCAGCGACCAGCTTCAGACTTTCAACGACGTTGTAGAACTGGGTCGTGTCGAACTCCATATATGGAAGGTCTCGGCTCTCGGCGTATTTCCGGGCGTATTGTGACGTCACGGTGCGCTGGGGTGATGCGCAGTTGGAGCCGAGAAGAACGCGGGTGCAGGAAGACGGGGATGAAAAGGTGTCCAGATCGGAAAGCCTGTCAAAGAAAAATTAATAAAAACGTGGTTCAAATCTAACCAGGAGTTAAAATTGTTGACCACACTTTGATATTGTTCACCACATTCCTACTCCGAAGTTTAATTTACATTATTTATTTGATGTGATGGCTTTAGATTGTTAGAGATACCTGGCAGTGGCGTCGCTAGGTCGAGTGTCACCGAGAGTGACGGGGGTGAGTTCTGAGAGGTGACGTCATTATAAGGGGCTCTGACATTTTGTGTGGTGGGAGGGGGAGCAGTGGTGAAGCGAGGTCGGGTGTCACCCGGTGCGGCACTTACTGCTGTCACCCCCTAGAGGCGTTGCGACCGTTCCCGGGGACAAACTTTCAAATTTTCGTCGATTTGCACCCCCCTCAAGTTTTTCTCTTTATGTTTTGCTATTTTTTGCCTTGGTGTCAACCCCCCCCCCCTAAATGGTGTCACCCGTTGCGTTCCGCACCCCCCCCCCCCCCGCCCCCTCGCTACGCCTCTGGGGGGTGGGAGGAAAAATTGCCCTAAAAGCGCTACTTCGAGTATGGAAAACCCTTGAAATAATTGACAGAAATCATAATTATGCATCAATCCCTAAATTGTTTCTTCCCCAAACAACCTTTAAATGAACTCAACTATTTTTTTTTATCCAATTGTAGATTAAAGTCGCTATAATATCTGTCTAAAAACACATTTTAGGACTAAAACGCCACCTAATACTGTCAGGCTTTACAGTTGTAAAGTTTTTGTGAGTCACTGTCATATGTTCCTGAAGGTCACACGAAGTGTTCTCGTGACTAGAGTCAGATAAGGAATCGATTCCGTTTTTTTGTGTCAAGGGGAAACTAATGATTTTAGAGGCGCGTTCAAAGATACACACATACCCCCACCCCCACCCAGGGGCGGAACTACAGTGCCGCCAGACCCCGCAATGCGGGAGGGAGGGCCCGGGCCATTTAGGGGCCCATGGCCGACACTGATAATTTTTATTATAGTTAAAAAATCTAACTTTCTTGCAATTTTTTACTTAATGTTTGTTTTGTAAAACGATTACCATAGCTGCGGTTAGATTATCTTTATTCTATAGACAACATCCCCACGCTCTTGTATATTCTTTTTCCCTTTGTTTTTAAACCACTGTGAAAGCCAAGTCCTTTCTTTTCTACAATTAAACTTAACAAAGATAAGCAAACGTTCAAACTACTTCCATGACTTACTTCCCTTTTTTAAATAGTCAAATTGGGGTGCTCTTAAGCTCCTTTTAATAGATTTGTACTAAACAAATTTAAAAGCAACTTCTCTTACTAAATATTTTTTTCATAAAGTACTTACTAAAGAATGACCTAGTATAAAAAGGAAATGTATTTAAAATTAATAATATAAATACAAAAAAAGATAAAAATAATCATAACACGAGACACCATTACTTCTACAAAGATTTAATGTTTTATATTCTTTTAGCCAGACAGACGTTAAGAGAACCCATAGCAGATAAAATAAAACTGTTTTTCTCAAAACACGCTAATGCACTTACACCAGGGGTCGGCAACCTTTTTAGCCGAAATAGCCAAAAGTTACAATTTACAACATTACCCGGTTTTAAAAGAGCCACTAACTTTTTTATGTCAATAGTATATTTGTTTAGGATTTATATATATATATATATATATATATATATAATCCTAAACAAATAGCATACTATATATATAATTTAAAATAAATAGCTTTGAATATATGAGATAATCTCATTTGAATTTGTGTTGAGAGGATCTACCATGTAAGTCAAAGTACTTGCATTTGTTTTGAATAGCTCAAATCTCTCAGTGAAAACATCCTTCATTTTGTTTATATTAATGCTGAAGTGATTGAATAGTAGCATTGGTTTCATAACGATATTTTTCCAGATTTTTCGTAATTAAGTAATTTACCGCTCAACGTGCATTCAACAAAAAAAAAGTTTTTTTTTTTCGAAACAAACCACATCTTTAAGCAAGATATAGGCTGGGTTTTCCTTTCAGTTTTACACTTAGCTGGTTTACTTTCTTTGTGATATCCACTATGAAGTTGAATGTTTCAATTCGAAATGGACAATGTAATAGGAAGTACATTGAGATAGGGAGTAACTAAATATTCTAATATAATAGTGAATGTTTATTGTTTATATCTAATGTTATATCGTTTATTACCGAATGTTGCAGACTAATATTTGTATGAGTTTTGAAAATAAAATAAAATAATTATTAATATTTGTGCATGGAGCAGAAGAGCCGCAACTGGACACCAAAAGAGCCGCATGCGGCTCGCGAGCCGCAGGTTGCCGACCCCTGACTTACACACATGACATGATGTAGTAATTTGTTTTAATTGAAAAAAAAAACAAGACTTTTTTTCAAAACCCGAACAGGCTAGAAATGAGTATCCTATGCTCTGTTCGTATTTTGTGTATATATATATATATATATATATATATATATATATATATATATATATATATATATATTATATATATATATATATGGGGGGGGGGGGGGGCTAAAAATTGTTTTTGCGGGGTGGCCCTTTTTTTCTAGTTCCGCCACTGCCCCCACCACAGTATTACCAGTCATGGTCAGCTAGAGGCTAGCTTTAACCACCAGCTGCTGGTGCTATCTATATTTAGCTAGAATGGTGTCGTAGGCTGGGGTGTTATAAGGGTTTTAAACCCCCCCCCCCCTCCTCCCATAGACCCATTAGTGACGCGATAGTGCCGCTATAAAATTTAGGAAATCCATTACACAATACTTAATATAGGTATATATATATATATATATATATATATATATATATATATATATATATATATATATATATATATATATATATATGCCTTTTATTAATATTTATGAGATCTAATGGAATTCAGCACAGCACAAACTGTACACGCCAGAAACCCACACACAACGTAAATGGGGCAAACACCATCAGTCAACAAACTGATTAAACGCCCTAATCAAACAGCTTTATGGTGGCGATGTGGCGACGTACATCCCCAGCTTCCACAGGGGTAAATGACTCAATGCCACTATAGTATAAGCTGCACTATATATATATATATATATATATATATATATATATATATATATATATATATATATATAGTGAAAGAGGTCATGAGCAAATAAAATGAGCTAGTTTACTCATGACTCAGCAAAGCTCGTGATGATCAGCGTGTTTACCCAGAGACGGTGACGCTTCTAATATTCACCTCTAATGTGTGTATCTTTTTTTTTCTTATTTTACACTACCGATGAATGCTATTAATAATAAAAGTGAAATTGGGTTTTAATGTATTGGGGTATGACATTTGAAGCTTAATAGAGAGCGCAATTCGTTGCAGTGTTGGGGGGGGGGGGGGGACAGGTTAAAGTATATATTAAAGTATATATAAAATAGATTAAATATTTTTTAGTCTTGTCCGTTGGACATGCTTCAAAATGAAACTCTAGAGTCGAGTACATAGTAGTATACGGTACTGCCCACCTTTAGTTGTTGCATTTATAGATCTTCCTATCAACTGACGCCCATTAAATCTACTCACCCAATCAACTGACGCCCATTAAATCTACTCACCCAATCAACTGACGCCCATTAAATCTACTCACCCAATCAACTGACCCCTATTAAATTTACTCACCCTATCAACTGACCCCTATTAAATCTACTCACCCTATCAACTGACCCCCATTAAATCTACTTACCATATCAACTGACCCCCATTAAATCTACTTACCATATCAACTGACCCCCATTAAATCTACTTACCATATCAACTGACCCCCATTAAATCTACTTACCATATCAACTGACCCCTATTAAATCTACTCACCCTATCAACTGACCCCTATTAAATCTACTCACCCTATCAACTGACCCCTATTAAATCTACTCACCCTATCAACTGACCCCCATTAAATCTACTTACCATATCAACTGACCCCCATTAAATCTACTTACCATATCAACTGACCCCCATTAAATCTACTTACCATATCAACTGACCCCCATTAAATCTACTTACCATATCAACTGACCCCCATTAAATCTACTTACCATATCAACTGACCCCCATTAAATCTACTTACCATATCAACTGACCCCCATTAAATCTACTCACCATATCAACTGACCCCTATTAAATCTACTTACCATATCAACTGACCCCTATTAAATCTACTTACCATATCAACTGACCCCTATTAAATCTACTTACCATATCAACTGACCCCTATTAAATCTACTCACTCTATCAACTGACCCCTATTAAAACTACTCACCCTATCAACTGACCCCTATTAAATCTACTCACCATATTTCCGTGTTCTCGAGTGACTTGAGGTTGTTGAGGTCAAATATAAGTAGCACGCCATGCGCGCCCCGGTAGTAGGATGACGTCAGACTTCGGTATCTTTCCTGACCTAGATCAAAGATCAGTTAGATGGTCAGCCAATTTATCCATACTTGATTGATTTGTATGGTCAGCCAATGTATCAATACTTGATTGATTTATATGGTCAGCCAATGTATTGATTGATTTATATGTTTAGCTAATGTATCAATACTTGATTGATTTATGCAAAACTCAGAAATAAGCTACCCTTTATAAAAAAAATTCCGAACTGACTACAAAATTAAACAAAATTGATATGGAGAAATAACCTTATATGAACTTGCAGATAAAACCATGAAGTAACAACTGAAATAAATATTTCTATTTAAATAATGATTGTATCATGTGCAGGACATTAACCCTCCCTCCCCCCCCCCCCACACACACACACTAATCAATTAACCTTGTGCGTTACCAGCGTTCGATTACGCATTGACGTCATTCCCAATTTGGAAAATATAAGAGATTGGTTAGACTTACTGGTGGGGTTAGGGATAAGGTTAGAGTTTTAGGAAAATGATAAGTTTAGGATATTAGGGTTAGGGATAAGGTTAGAGTTTTAGGAAAATGATAAGTTTAGGATATTAGGGTTAGGGATAAGGTTAGAGTTTTAGGCAAATGATAAGTTTAGGATATTAGGGTTAGGGATAAGGTTAGAGTTTTAGGAAAATGATAAGTTTAGGATATTAGGGTTAGGGATAAGGTTAGAGTTTTAGGCAAATGATAAGTTTAGGATATTAGGGTTAGGGATAAGGTTAGAGTTTTAGGCAAATGATAAGTTTAGGATATTAGGGTTAGGGATAAGGTTAGAGTTTTAGGAAAATGATAAGTTTAGGATATTAGGGTTACGGATAAGGTTAGAGTTTTAGGAAAATGATAAGTTTAGGATATTAGGGTTAGGGATAAGGTTAGAGTTTTAGGAAAATGATAAGTTTAGGATATTAGGGTTAGGGATAAGGTTAGAGTTTTAGGAAAATGATAAGTTTAGGATATTAGGGTTAGGGATAAGGTTAGAGTTTTAGGAAAATGATAAGTTTAGGATATTAGGGTTAGGGATAAGGTTAGAGTTTTAGGCAAATGATAAGTTTAGGATATTAGGGTTAGGGATAAGGTTAGAGTTTTAGGCAAATGATAAGTTTAGGATATTAGGGTTAGGGATAAGGTTAGAGTTTTAGGAAAATGATAAGTTTAGGATATTAGGGTTACGGATAAGGTTAGAGTTTTAGGAAAATGATAAGTTTAGGATATTAGGGTTAGGGATAAGGTTAGAGTTTTAGGAAAATGATAAGTTTAGGATATTAGGGTTAGGGATAAGGTTAGAGTTTTAGGAAAATGATAAGTTTAGGATATTAGGGTTAGGGATAAGGTTAGAGTTTTAGGAAAATGATAAGTTTAGGATATTAGGGTTAGGGATAAGGTTAGAGTTTTAGGAAAATGATAAGTTTAGGGTGTTAGGGTTAGGGATAAGGTTAGAGTTTTAGGCAAATGATAAGTTTAGGATATTAGGGTTAGGGATAAGGTTAGAGTTTTAGGAAAATGATAAGTTTAGGATGTTAGGGTTAGGGATAAGGTTAGAGTTTTAGGAAAATGATAAGTTTAGGATATTAGGGTTAGGGATAAGGTTAGAGTTTTAGGAAAATGATAAGTTTAGGATATTAGGGTTAGGGATAAGGTTAGAGTTTTAGGCAAATGATAAGTTTAGGATATTAGGGTTAGGGATAAGGTTAGAGTTTTAGGAAAATGATAAGTTTAGGATATTAGGGTTAGGGATAAGGTTAGAGTTTTAGGCAAATGATAAGTTTAGGATATTAGGGTTAGGGATAAGGTTAGAGTTTTAGGAAAATGATAAGTTTAGGATATTAGGGTTAGGGATAAGGTTAGAGTTTTAGGCAAATGATAAGTTTAGGATATTAGGGTTAGGGATAAGGTTAGAGTTTTAGGCAAATGATAAGTTTAGGATATTAGGGTTAGGGATAAGGTTAGAGTTTTAGGAAAATGATAAGTTTAGGATGTTAGGGTTAGGGATAAGGTTAGAGTTTTAGGAAAATGATAAGTTTAGGATATTAGGGTTAGGGATAAGGTTAGAGTTTTAGGAAAATGATAAGTTTAGGATGTTAGGGTTAGGGATAAGGTTAGAGTTTTCGGCAAATGATAAGTTTAGGATATTAGGGTTAGGGATAAGGTTAGAGTTTTAGGAAAATGATAAGTTTAGGATATTAGGGTTAGGGATAAGGTTAGAGTTTTAGGAAAATGATAAGTTTAGGATATTAGGGTTAGGGATAAGGTTAGAGTTTTAGGAAAATGATAAGTTTAGGATATTAGGGTTAGGGATAAGGTTAGAGTTTTAGGAAAATGATAAGTTTAGGATATTAGGGTTACGGATAAGGTTAGAGTTTTAGGAAAATGATAAGTTTAGGATATTAGGGTTAGGGATAAGGTTAGAGTTTTAGTAAAATGATAAGTTTAGGATATTAGGGTTAGGGATAAGGTTAGAGTTTTAGGAAAATGATAAGTTTAGGATATTAGGGTTAGGGATAAGGTTAGAGTTTTAGGAAAATGATAAGTTTAGGATATTAGGGTTAGGGATAAGGTTAGAGTTTTAGGAAAATGATAAGTTTAGGATATTAGGGTTAGGGATAAGGTTAGGGTTTTAGGAAAATGATAAGTTTAGGATATTAGGGTTAGGGATAAGGTTAGAGTTTTAGGAAAATGATAAGTTTAGGATATTAGGGTTAGGGATAAGGTTAGAGTTTTAGGAAAATGATAAGTTTAGGATATTAGGGTTAGGGATAAGGTTAGAGTTTTAGGAAAATGATAAGTTTAGGATATTAGGGTTAGGGATAAGGTTAGAGTTTTAGGAAAATGATAAGTTTAGGATATTAGGGTTAGGGATAAGGTTAGAGTTTTAGGAAAATGATAAGTTTAGGAAATTAGGGTTAGGGATAAGGTTAGAGTTTTAGGAAAATGATAAGTTTAGGATATTAGGGTTAGGGATAAGGTTAGAGTTTTAGGAAAATGATAAGTTTAGGATATTAGGGTTAGGGATAAGGTTAGAGTTTTAGGAAAATGATAAGTTTAGGATATTAGGGTTAGGGATAAGGTTAGAGTTTTAGGCAAATGATAAGTTTAGGATATTAGGGTTAGGGATAAGGTTAGAGTTTTAGGCAAATGATAAGTTTAGGATGTTAGGGTTAGGGATAAGGTTAGAGTTTTAGGCAAATGATAAGTAAAGGATGTTAGGGTTAGGGATAAGGTTAGAGTTTTAGGCAAATGATAAGTAAAGGATGTTAGGGTTAGGGATAAGGTTAGAGTTTTAGGCAAATGATAAGTTTAGGATGTTAGGGTTAGGGATAAGGTTAGAGTTTTAGGCAAATGATAAGTTTAGGATGTTAGGATTAGGGATAAGGTTAGAGTTTTAGGCAAATGATAAGTTTAGGATGTTAGGATTAGGGATAAGGTTAGAGTTTTAGGAAAATGATAAGTTTAGGATGTTAGGGTTAGGGATAAGGTTAGAGTTTTAGGCAAATGATAAGTTTAGGATGTTAGGATTAGGGATAAGGTTAGAGTTTTAGGCAAATGATAAGTTTAGGATGTTAGGGTTAGGGATAAGGTTAGAGTTTTAGGCAAATGATAAGTTTAGGATGTTAGGATTAGGGATAAGGTTAGAGTTTTAGGAAAATGATAAGTTTAGGATGTTAGGGTTAGGGATAAGGTTAGAGTTTTAGGCAAATGATAAGTTTAGGATGTTAGGATTAGGGATAAGGTTTGGGATAGAGATAAGTTTTACTGATTGATTTAGGGATAGGGCTAGGAATCGGTTAAGGATAATTTAGAGATATGTTGGAGATTGGTTTGGGATAGGGATACTGTTATCATTCGGATTGGCATTGGATTAGGTTATAGGATAGAGCTAGGGATGTGTTTTGGGTTGGGAATAGGGATAAACTCATGATAGATTAAGGAATAGTTAACAAAGGTTTGGATATGGATATGGATAGGTGTAGGTTTTACATTAGATTCATTGGATCAGATTTTGATGACGTCCGATAAAGGTGAAGATTTATAAACAGAATGTTCACTACAAGTATTATCATAAGTTCAAAGGTTAAACAATGGCGCCTGTTGTCATCCCCGTTTTGGGGCATGTAGAAGTAATCAACATAATGTATCGAATATGTAATCAACTTTTTGTATCGAACATGTAATCAAATATAGCGAATTATATGTAATCAGCGTATGTGTATCGAAGTCATCAGACCGGTGTATGGCTTACATAATCAAAGTTTGCTTACTTATTATGCAATAGACTGTTGTGTGTATCGAATATGTAATCAAATATATAATTAACGTGTGTATATCAAATATGTAATCAACGTGGGTGGATCAAATATGTAATCAACGTGTGTATCAAATATGTAATCAACGTGTGTGTATAAAATATGTAATCAAATATGTAATTAACTTCCTTGTATCAAATTTGTAATCAACGTGTGTATCGAATATGTAATCAACTTGTCTGTATCAAATGTATAATTAGCGTTTGGGTATCGAATATGTAATTAAATATGTAATCAATGCATGTGTATCGAACATGTAATCAAGTATGTAATCAACTAGTCTGTAATCAAATATGTAATTAACGCGCGTGTATAGAACATGTAATCAAGTATGTAATCAACGCGCGTGTATAGAACATGTAATCAAGTATTAATCAACGCATGCGTATTGAACATGTAATCAAGTATGTAATCAACTTGTCTGTAATCAAATATGTAATCAACGCATGCGTATTGAACATGTAATCAAGTATGTAATCAACTAGACTGTAATCAAATATGTAATCAACGCATGCGTATTGAACATGTAATCAAGTATGTAATCACCACAGCGAGGCTGTACTCACCCCCCGTGTCACACAGACGGACCAGCGCCGTGTGACCAGAGCTCGTGACGACCTCGACCTCTAGGTGGTCCGCCGTGGGGCTGGCCCTGCACCTGCAGTCCACCTTGGTCACGTCGGGGTGCACCCTCAGCGCCTTCATGAACGACGTCTTCCCCACCCCCTGGTCCCCCAGCATGATGATCTTGAAGACGTAATCGTAGGCGCCATGTTTGTACACGTCACTTCCGGTGCTGAAGTGTCTGAAGAGTTTGGGCTCGGTGACCTGAGGGAAGAGGCAGCTCTTGACCCCGACAGGTGAGATGGCCTTGACCCCGACAGGTGAGATGGCGTGCCGGTGTAGGCCGTCGGTGATGTGGCTCATTGCTGGGGCAGCTACAGGTCAAGCTGGTCACTACAGGTGTTTACGGTAGACTTCAGGCTGGCCAATAGCTACAGGTGTGGTTGTGTTAGACTTCAGGCAGTTGCCAAATGTCGCTTATGATGAAGACTTCTGTTTATATGTAATATGTAGATTGTGAGGCTGGTAACAAACGTCGATTGTTTTGATGGTTATGTTGTAATTTATTTATCACGTAAGTTCGTCTAGCAATGACGCCATTGCTAAAATTAAAATAAAACGAAATTGAGTTTTTAAAAATCCAGAAATTAATTTTTAAAATACTATTGTTCGTCACTTGCTTAGAAATGATCTCAAAAGTATAATCTCCAAACGTGTGTACAAAATCGCTGCAAGCAAATGTTATTGGGTAATGGAGCACATGAAAGTTTATACCAGCAGTCTAAAATCGAGTCTGTGCTGACGAAGGGAAGTAACCTGGGCTAGTTACCTCCCATGTAAGGGTACATAGACAGCAAGATAACGTTGATTTTATTACATCATGTGCTTACAGCCTTGACAAACCTAAAAATAGAACAAAGTCACGCGTCACATAACAATAGGGAATACCCGTTTGTTGAAATGACGAAAGGAAATACCTCGGTCTCAATTCCTTTTTGTTATATTCCCAACAATTGGAAATAGCCGTTGGTCTAAGATACTCAGATATTAATTGGTGATGCTACAATAGGTTATGTATTACTTACCACAAACTGTCACTTTAATTAACCACATCTTCAGTAATTTATTACATACTATATGAATATAACCACATGCACTGACACTTTAATTAACCACATCTTCAGTAATTTATTACATACTATATGAATATAACCACATGCACTGACACTTTTATTAACCACATCTTCAGTAATTTATTACATACTATATGAATATAACCACATGCACTGACACTTTTATTAACCACATCTTCAGTAATTTATTACATACTATATGAATATAACCACATGCACTGACACTTTTATTAACCACATCTTCAGTAATTTATTACATACTATATGAACATAACCACATACACTGACACTTTAATTAACCACATCTTCAGTAATTTATTACATACTATTTGAATATAAACTCCAATATTAATTATAAAACCACTTGAACTAACGATATACCACTTTAATTAATCGGATATATAACAACCATGCTATGTATCACCTAACATACACACTAACTAACTACAATATTATTCTAAATGTATTACATACTACTTAAACTACTTGCATTATCGGATATGCAATATTAATACAATGTATTACTTAACACATACAGTAACCAACTACAATTATATCCTAATGTATTACATACTACATGATTTATCTGTATGTCACATAATCGGATCTGCAACATCAATCCAATGTATTACATAACACATACAGCAACAAAAAAACAACATACTTCAAATGTATTACCGACTACATTATCTAAGTTTGCTACTTTAATTAACATGTGTTCTGACGTAAATGTAATGCATTACTTACCACATCACGGTGGGTTAAATATGTAGCTCACTTAGACTAACTACACCCCACTAAAATCTGCCCAACTGTGAAGCTATGCATACGATTAACATATTGGAGGCTAAACGAAGATTTGAAGAACACAGTCACGTGAATGTTTAAACTTAGGCTTGATTTCCATAAAAATTGAACTGGCCAATCTGAGGATGATGTGGCGTTCTTGAACCCCGGCACTTAACATAAACCTCGGGCCACTGTGTACAGGTGCATGTTAATCAGGTTCAAATTTAGCGATCTGCTGGTTCACGGCGGCTCAAACTGTTGGGGCAGGTGTCTTTCCTTTTGGTGTAGGGGTCTGTCTCAAACTTTTGGTGTAGGGGTCTTTCAAAAATGTTGGTGTAGGGGTATTTCTTAAACTTTTGGTGCATGTGTCTTTCTCAAACTTTTGGTGTAGGGGTCTTTAAGAAATTTTGGTGTAGGGGTTTTTCTCAAACTTTTGGTGTAGGGGTCTTTCAGAACTTTTGGGGTAGGGGTCTTTCAGAAATTTTGGTGTAAGGGTCTTTCTTAACTTTTGGTGTAGGGGTCTTTCAGAACTTTTGGTGTAGGGGTCTTTCTCAAGCTATTAGGCGACTTCTGTTGTCAACTTTCTCAGTGTATCCAGGCATCTCTTCCGGGGGGGGGGGGGCGGCTACGACCGTCTACCCCCCCCCCCCACGAAATATAGAAAATATATACTTTTACCAGTGTCCAGTTACCCCCCCCCCCCCCCCCCCCCGAAAAATTCGATTGCCCCGTGGAAAAAAGTCTGGAAGACTGTATTGTTTCAGTAACATGTTACATGTAGTGTGTATGTTAGATGAGCCTGGTCGTGAACTTATTGAAATAGACCATGTCGAATTTGTTTCAATGTCAGGATGTTTTATAAACGAACAAATGAGAGCTCATCCTATCAAATACAAGCGATCACTGAGACTGACATTTTTAGGATTTTTTTTGCTACACAGATTATGGTAATGCATACATTGTTGAGCATTGCAGCACATCGTACGATAATCCATTGATATCGATTCTCACTTAGATCTAGTACAATACAGACATTTAAGTCACATTGCTTCATAATCAAAAAATGCAATAAATATTTCTAAATAAAATATGAGATTTTGAATTGAATGAATGTGTGTCGGTGTGTTAACGTGTTCATTTATCTGGTACGGGAGAGCTCTGATGAGAAGATTGATTTGGGCGGTCCTACGATCTCTGTGCATGGGGCTATGAGCTATACCAGGGGTCGGTAACCTTTTGAGACGGAAGAGCCAAAAGTTACAATCTACAAAATTTCCCAAATTTTAAAGAGCCACTAACATTTTTATGTGCACTTTGGTAGAGGGATGCATAGAACCATTGCCCGGGGGCTGTCCTCAGCACAGTTGTGGGGCTTGGCCTAAATGCCCAGCGGCTGTCAGCTGTCCATATACACTCTACTCCACCTATTCTCATTATTTTATATTTTGTTTACAGTTTTTTTGTTTTTTTTGCAGTATAAAATACTTTTTTTGAGTTTTGAAAACAAAAATACTATAATTATTATGGAACTAAAAAGCCGCATAGTGACATCAAATGAGCCGCATGCGGCTCGTGAGCCGCAGGTTGCCGACCCCTGAGCTATATTATGATGATTTGGCTGGTATGTTAATAATAAACGATAGACTAATAAGTGAGATAGCCTGGAATGTAAAGGGGGATTTGATCCCAATTGACTCACATTTCTAAACGGAATTTTAATTAATTTTTTTTTTTTTTATTCCCGTATCTTGTCATTCTTAAACTTTACCAAACCGTTTTCTCTCAATAAGCTCTTACTCTTAGATTAACGGTTAGGATAAACGTTACTGCGTTAGACGTGTGGTTATGGGTTAACCAAAAACTTGATGAAAAACACTATCTTTAGAAAACGGCTGTTGTTGTGTTATTTAATTAAATGGGCTTGAGTGCAGCTTGTTTCAATCAATTGTTGTTGGTGGCCCTCATGTTTGTTTTGATTTCTGTTTGCGTGCGTACTACAGTTTGTCTGATAGAAAGTGGAACTAGTTCTAGTGTAGATAAGAAAAATGAAACATGTTTCTAAAGAACACAGGTGATAAGAAGACTCGTCATTTTTTTTTTTATGAAACAAACAACTTAGAGTTGACACATTGGAGAAAAAAACATCTTGGAGCTAAGACAGCGGGAGCTAAGACATATTGAGTATTGAGCAAACACGACTTGGAGCTAAAACAAATTGAAGATGGACAGCGGGAGTTAACGATCGACAAATTCTGCTGTAGCAGTCAATATTGTGTTAATTATGTAAATGTAATCAAAACAGGGTGATATCTCTTAGTATTTCACCACAGTGCATTATCCCGAGCCATCTTTAAAATTTCCTATTTGTACCCTGTCAAGTATGTAAAGGGTTAATTTTTCGATTAGGGAAATCATTAATTTGCCTTATCAACCTGGACTTTGTCTAATCAAAATAGATTTTCTGATTATTTTAATTCCATGCCAGGTTTTCGGATTGTGTACAAATTACATTACACAAAAAGGTGTGGTGGTGGTGTACCATTATGTGATGTGCATTAGTTTGTTATATTTTGTTATAGAGAGTGAGGTGATGGTTTATCACTTTGTTTTATCGTGGTGGTCACGAGGGGTAAACAACTATCGTTATGGTTATTGGTATTGTTATTGTTATTATAATTGTTATTTTGAATGTTTGAAAATGTCTGATTTTCGTTTCCCATTACGCGTATCATCTCCCAAAAAATTGCAGGAACTGGTATCTGTACTACTATATCAATATATTTGGTAAGCCCTTACACATGAGACTGGCAACAAAATATTTAGATAAATATGTTGCCCTCAAACTTCTTGATCTATGTAGTATAGGGGTGATATTTTTTGGTTTGTATAATCAGGGATGTGTCGACTATGAAAATGTTTTATACAGTGGAGTGGTATGCGCACGATGTTTCTTCCAGACTTTTTTCTTTTTTCTCCGGGGGGGGGGGGGGGGCACTTGAAATTTTCGGGGGGGGGGGGCGGTAGACTTTCTTCGGGGGGGGGGGCGGACCACTGTTAAAAGTATATATTTTCTATTCTATATAAATTATATAAATTTCATTCGTTTCGGGGGGGGGGGGGGGGGCGGTAGAATTTTTTCGGGGGGACTTTGCCCCCCCCCCCCATCCCCCGAAGAGATTCCTGGAAGAAACTCTGTGTTAAATGCGCATACGTATGGTGTTTTCTGCTATACATATGTCAATACGAAAGCCTTTATAACATAACATGAAATGCCAGCACATTGTGTTTTCTTCAATAGTCTACGGGGTGTTTTATTTATGGCTAATATTTTGCGTTTCGTGAACCATTGCACTTTTTGAAAGTCAAATTCTAGAACGATGACGTCAGCATCATGTGACGGGAATCCATTTGTGTACACATGGATTGCTCGCGTGTTTCAAGCTAAAAATAGCAGAAGCCTTTGTCATGCTATGTAGGAATGGTTGAACCAAATACAAACAAAATTTATCTAGAATCTACTATACATAATACATTTTTAAAATGCTTTACTCTGTTTTATTGGTGTTTCTTTCTTCTTTTTATAGTTTTTTTTTTGGGCGCAAGTTTTTAGCGCCTTTGTCTGCTTTAAATTCCTGCAATACCGGCTTCTTTCTTTGTTGGGTTGATCGCGTGCTATACAAAACATTCGCACAGCTTTAGGTTACATGTGTTATAATTAGATCGCTCAACCTTGAACTGTGCATAAATTGTCCAACACTGAAGCCGACCAATCATTGAGGCTATGTGTGTGGTGCATGTCACTTTTAACTAAGAGAACTTGTTTGATTGGTGGATATCATCATATGTTGGTCGTTTAAGGAACTCAGTTGTCTCAACATAGGTCGAGTTTATTGATTGTTGATACTTATACGCAGAGTTTCTTTCAGGCATCTTTCGAAAGGGGGTGGAGGGGAAGGGGTTGGAAAGTCTACCGCACCCCCCCCTCCTCCGGAAAATTTACTCCCCCTACCCTCCCGAAAAATATCAAATTCCCCCCCCCCCCCCCTCCCTTGGGTAGAAAAATCTGAGAAAAATACTGCTTATAGAAGTCTACGTGGTTTAACGGGAATAAATCATAGAGAAATACTGCTTATACGTGTTTAAACGTAAATAACGTGTATATTC